ACCACTTCATTAGCTCTGGAGCTAATTGTACTTGCCCTCCGCTCTTCCTCGGTAGTGTGTTGGACACCTTCTGACCTGAAGGGCTCATCTTCCAGTGTCATATCTGTTAGCCTTTTATTTCTGTTCATGGGGTTTTCTTGGCAAAGATCCTGGAGTGGCTTGCCAGTTCCTGCTCCAGGTGGATCGCGTTTAGTCAGAACTCTCCACTATGACCTGTCCCTCTTGGGTGTCCCTGCATGGCATAGCTCATAGCTTCTCTGAATTACTCAACCCACTTCTCCACGACAAGGCAGCAATCCATGAAGGAGATTTTTATAATAGTTCTAATCTATTCTTTGTAAACTATTACTTGAAAATAAATCTTATTGATTGCATTATTTTGTACATAACAGTAGTTCTTGAGTGTCAGTGAAATTGCTTGCACTTAATGAAAAGCATTCCTTAATGTCACAATATTTATATTATTTAAATAATATAGCCTGATATCTGTGAAGATTCTTAGTCATCCAGGTGTGGTTATCTGGAAGTTGAGTCATGGTAACTGGACTTCTTTCTTGTTAAGTTGAAATGTTTTGCTACTCATCCAAGCAGCTTCTTCAGTCTGAGGTAACAGCCTGACATGTGATAATATGTTTGTCAGTTTTAAGAAGTCAAGCTACTTTTATCAATATAAATTATTAATAACTAATTTCAATGTTTTCTCTCCAGGAATCAGTGTTCACAAGTGTGGCAAAAAATATAGTTGAATCATGCATGAATGGCTACAATGGAACAATTTTTGCATAGTAAGCTTTCAGTTTTTTTTATTAAATGTAACTTTTAAGATATCTGATTTAAACTATTTTATACATTGATCTATTGCAGGGGGGACGTGGTGGCGGGAGGGACGTGGTGGCACTGCGGGCTAAACCGCAGAAGGCTTTGTGTGCTGCAGGGTCAGAAGACCAGCAGTTGTAAGATCGAATCCACGTGATGGAGTGAGCTCCTGTCGCTTTGTCCCAGCTCCTCGCCAACCTAGCAGTTCAAAAGCATGTAAATGCGAGTAGATAAATAGGTACAATCTCGGTGGGAAGGTAAACAGCGTTCCGAATCTAAGTCGCGCTGGCCACGTGACAACGGAAACTCTTCGGACAAACGCTGGCTCTACGGCTTGGAAACGGGGATGAGCACCGCCCCCTAGAGTTGAACATGACTGACTAAAATGTCAAGGGGAACCTTTACCTTAAGATACGTGATTTAAACTATTTTATACATTGATCTATTGCAGGGGTCTCTAACTCAATTTACCTTGGGACGGCTGGAGGCAGAGTCTGGGTGAGGCTGGGCCGCATCAAATTTAAAAAAAACACCTCACAGAATTGCCTTGCCAAAGGAGAAAAGCCCCCATCAGTACCTGTGAAATTAAACAGAATGGGGTGGGGGCCCCCACAGATGCGCGTGCGCGCACACAGAGATGTCCGGCAACCTTCCTCTGGGGGACCCCTCTCAAAAAAAAGGCACACTCAGCAGCAGCAGCTACCCCCACCACGACAGAGGAGCAAACTTTGTGAGGCAAGCCCAGGCAGCCTCCAGCACCGAGGCGGCTGAAGCAGGACAAAGAGGAGGAGGAAGCACCGCCGGGCGCTGAGGTGGCCACTGGCTGGGCTGGTGCTGGGGGTGCTGAGAGAGAAAGAGAGCCAGAGAGCCACTTCCCTGGAAGAGGTGGCGGCGGCAGCAGCTGCTGTTGGAGGCGCTGTTGAAGGCGCTCTTCGATGACGGGCTGGGAGCGAGCTCCGCTCTCAGGCATTGCTCGGCAGTGGCTCGGGTGGTCGGAGAAAAGGCTGGGCCAGCTGGCAAGCTGCAGTTCTGGATGGAGAGTGCAAGAGGTGCTGTCTTGGGAGAGAGCTGGAGAGCGAGGCGAGGCTTCTTTTGACTCTTGACAGCAGAGGATGCGTGGGCGCTTCAGGGGGCAGGCAAGGCGGGGGCTACAAACTATCATCCGGCGGGCCGCATGTTTGAGACCCCTGATCTATTGGAAAAATACCTACAGAAATCTGCCCAATATGATGTCAGATTATTTGTTCATCTAGCGCACTGTTATTGTTAATGTTGTTACATTGCATTCCTACCCCATTTTTCTGCTATTACATGGTTATCAGGATAGTTTACAATCAGCATAAAGCATAATAAAAACAGCATGTATAAACTGAAACATTAAAATCTGAGTAGTAAAGATCATAATAAATTAAATAATATTGTGAGTCAGCTGAGAAAGATGTACCTTCATACCTTTCCTAGAATCATTAAAAGTGGAGGCTGATTGCAGTTCTGACAGAAATGTATACTACAGTGGTTCCCCCCAAAATAAGACAGGATCTTATATTAATTTTTGCTCCAAAAAACGCATTAGGACTTATTTTCAGGGGATATTTTGTTTTACAGTCCTGTCATCTTCTGGTTGCTGCACAATGATGGAGAACGGGGTTTAACTTAATTGGGGCTTATTTTTGGAGTAGGGCTTATATTATGAGCATCCTGAAAAATCATACTAGGGCTTATTTTCAGGTTAGGTCTTATTTTCAGGAAAACGGTACAATCTTAAGTCAACACAGGAAAAAGGCTTTTCCTACATGCCTGTCAAGCAGGCCTTTATACCTGTTGGTATTCCCAAGGAGATTTCTCCTGAAGATCTTAACTCCTAGCCAAGCTCATTGTGATGGTCTCATTACCTGTCCTGTAGATGTTGAGACACAAAACTGTTTAGGGCTCTGGTGGTTAAAACCAGCTTCTTGGGACAGGCCCTATAAGCAACTGCCAGGCAAGTAGATCTTTCAGTGTTGTGGTCATACTGTATGATCTTGAGACCTTGTAGCAGCAGCCTGACTGGCATATTACCAGATGTTGCACTGACTGAAGCTCCCAGACCCTCTTAAAGGGCAGCCCCAACGAAGAGCTTATTGAATTAGTTAAGATACAATGTGACAAAGACATAAATGACTCCCACCAAGTCAGGTTGACCCAGGAAAGGATTGCATTGAGAGATCTCCCCACAGCTACTTGGGAATTCAGGGACAGCAGAGAGTCAAGGAGTACTCCCAGATTATGAAGTTGGTCTGTCAGGGGAAGTGCATCTCCTTCTAGAACAGGTTGAATCTCAGATGCCAAGCCTGATTTTCTAGCAACCATCAGCACCTCTTTTCAGGATTTAATTTCAGCTTTTTTTCACCCTCATCTAGCCCATTACTGAAATCAAGCAGCACCAAGGATGTCAATGTTAGTTGACTAGGAGCAATAGCTCTAGGTGTCATCAGCATACTGGTGGCACTTCACTCCAGTTTTGAACAAGCTCTTCCTGTGGCTTTATGTAAACATTATGTAATTAGGATTAGGGTAGAGCCCTGTGGGACACAACATTCCAAAAGCCATGGTGTCAGAGAGTCTTCCCCTGCACCACATTTTGAGCACATCCTGAAAGACAGAATTGGAACCACTGCAATATAGCACCCCAATACCCAACGCAGCCAGATGGCCCAACAGGACACCATGGTCATTGGTATCAAAAGCCACAGAGATCCAGGAACACCAGTAGGTTCATGTTGCCCATATCTACTCCCAAGCATGTCATATACCAAGGTGATCAAGGCAGTCTCAGTCCCTTATCTTGGTTGAAAATCCAGCTGAAATAGATTTGGATAATGAATGTCATCCAGAAATGTTCAGAGCTGCAATGCCATAACCTTCTCAACTACCTCAGCCAGAAACGCTAAATTTAACTGGCTGATAATTAACCCTTAATTTGTGTTAAGGATATCTGGGTAAAAGACAGATATCCTTAACACAGATTTTACATCAGCTTCTATTAGCCTCTTCCCTGTCGTTACCTCTTAACCAACCACAGTCAACGGTATCAATTCCACCTTGGCGGATTTGAGTAGCTACAAGGGGCAGGGTTTGAATTAAGTAGGTGGTAGATCTCACCATTCCAAACGTTTTGTTGCATCCTCTGTGAACCAAAAAGAATCCCAGCCAGCAGGACTCATAGTAGTTTTTAAAGTTATGTCACTTGATCGACTCCAAAATTGGAGTCCCAAGTTGAAATGAATCCAGTGGAACTTGTCTGCAAAACACATAGCAAACTGCTCACTGTGAACAACTGATTGCTCTGACCCTCCTTATTCAGTATCTCAGTGAAGAAGTCACTTCACTGGTTTAAAAAACATTACAAGGTTTCTATATGTGGATGTGATAGTAACAAAGATATAGGCCTTCTTAATGCTCCTTGCCACTGTAGTCTACCTTTTCAGGTGGATTACTATCTGTTTGCAGTCTGATTCATCTTGAGTTTTTCTCCAGTAATGGTCTAGCCATTGCTCTTCTGTTTCATTGCCCTCAATTCCCTGTTAAACCAAGGAGCAGATCCAGCTTTACAAATGGAAAGGGGCCACTTCGGATCATTTGTGTTACCATTCTAGCTATTTCTATATTCCACAGATCAGCTAGGGCTTAGTTCAACAATGCCAATGGCAACTGGAGGAAGACATTTTCCAAGTACATCCAGGAAACCGTTTGAATCCATCAAGCACTTGGGGCCTCTGTCATTCCCGTGGACATTCATACCACCTGTCAGTCTAACACTTACCAGCTGGGGATCTGTCCACAGTAACAGAGTTGTATGTAACCAGCTCCTCCACCCTCAGAGCACCAGTTCCACTAGAAGATAACACCAAATCTAAAATATGCTTTGCCTTGTGAGTAGAGCCAGCTATGAACTGAGACATGTCTATGACTGTCAGACAAGAAATTCTGAAGCACTCCCGACTCTGTGATCCCAGCATTAATTTGGTGTGTGTGCGTGTATGTGTGTAACAACCCTCCAACATAAGGCTGGAATTACCAAGCACCCTACTGGAGATTGCTCTGGGAAGTTGCAGAGGGGATACTTTTCAGCAGTAGGTTCAGTACACAAACAGAATCCTAATACTGTTCTAGCCACAACAGCATATATTCAAAATTATCAGATCACTAGATGGAGCATCTGGTTAGCAAGATTAGCTTTTATAGATGGCCGACACACTGTGTTGCCCTCTAATCCTAGCCTGCTATTACCACAAAATAGCCTGATAGATAAAGTTGCATGAGACAAGCTCCTCCCTTTTCTCTCCACTAGGTCTCCATGATACAAACCAAACTGATACCCTCAAACAGAATTAAAGCCTATATGATTGCTGCTGACCTGGCAATAAAAAGGAAGATTTTTATTCTGGAAGTTTGCCTTCATTGTCACTATGCCTTCTTTGGTTAAATTGCAATATGAAAGAAAGAAAAGGTGGCTAGTAGCCTGTTCTCCTTTCCCTTTAACAGCCAGATTGGATTCTTCCACCATGTCTCCCCTTGTAATTACTTAAATAGTGGCTCCTGCACTTCCCCATGTTTCTACTTTCCCAGAAACATCTTGGTGGCCCATTAGAGCAGAAGTGAATTCGTTCTTCAGTTGGCACAATAAAATAAACCTCATAAATCTAGTAAAAGGAAAAATATCCAAAATAAGCTGCCCTAAAACTTTGGTGTTACCCTTTCAACAATAATCCCACCACCCCAAGGCAGCAGTTCTCTTAAGTCCCCAACTAATCACTGGGCCTTGGGCTGAGTTGGATATGGGCCCTCTGTGGCAGCTGAACTATTTATGATCTGGAGAACTACCTAAAGTTGACTGTTGAGAAGACCACCATCTGTCAGCTTCTTCTGACTCATGTTTCCAAATATTATCTACAGTGGGGTCTTGACTTGAGAACGTAATCCATATTGGAAGGCGGTTCTCAAGTCAAAAAGTTCTCAGGTCAAATCTGCATTTCCCATAGGAATGCATTGAAAACCATTTGATCCGTATCTGCTCTTTTCCGTCCATAGAAACTAATGAGAAGCTGCTATTCCGCCTTCGACCACTAGAGGGGGAAATTTTGATTCTTTTTTTCTTAGGTCAAGAAAGGCTCAGGGAAGGCAGGGAAAATACAGTCCAGGCAGTACAGTATCAGGCAGTCCGAAGACTGTCTCCCAATTCACTCTCTAAACGCTGGGAGGAGTGAGAAAGCAGACAGGCACCCTTTTCACTGGCCAACAGTTAACTGAAAGTTCACATTTTGCACTTTCCCTGCCTCCCACGTGGGTTTTTTTCAGTTTGTAACTCAAATCTAAGTATGTAAGTCAAGTCAAATTTTTCCTTTGAGAGTGGTTCTTAAGTCAAAATGTTCTTAACTCAAGCCGTTCTTAAGTCAAGACCCCACTGTACTCTGTCTGGATAAGGCTTTGGGGGATCTCAGAGTCTTCCATATCCTGTCCTCTAATAGGAGATGCCATAAATGACATAAATTGAACTTGGGATCTTTGGCATTGAATTGGTATTCTGTCTGTCTATAATATTTTTGCCCTGCCTTTTTTCTTGAAAAGGAAAGGGTATGCTGTAGCCTCTTGACGATGTACTGAATCATTTATGGTAAAAAAGAAATAGTAATTATTTTTTATTGTTGAAATAACTGTATGTGTGTTTTTTTTAAGCGGGCAGACTGGTTCCGGGAAGACATTTACTATGATGGGTAAGTAGACACAATTTTAAATATCAAAGGGAGAGTCCCTGCCCCTTTGCACTGTTTAATGTATGTATGCTAGCTAACCTGTGTACAGTGGTGCCTCGACTTATGAACGCCCCTACCTACGAACATTCTGAGTTACAAAAAGCTCCGCTCGCAAAATCTTGCTTCGACTTGTGAGCGGAGCTTCAACCCCTACCTACGAACATTTTGAGTTACAAAAAGCTCCGCTCACAAAATCTTGCTTCGACTTGTGAGCGGAACTTCAGCCTAAGAACAGAAAAAGTCAGGGGGAAAAGGCGGGAAATTCAAACCATTGGTGGCGAAGAAGCTGCTTCTTTGTAGCTCTTTCGCCCCAACGGTTAGAGCAGGGAGTCAGGGAACTTTTTACTCCTGCAGCGCAGGAGGAGGAAGGAGAGACGGGGGAGGCTCCGGATCGCCCCCAGGTGCAGGAAGCCAGTGTGCTCCCTGCCCATCCCTGGCGCGGGTCCACACATGAGTAAGGCCTGCCCAAGGTGCGGGTCTACTCATGATAAGGGCCGCCACGGCCATAGCCAGCCCTGCCTCAGCTGCCCTATGCCACCAGCCAGGGCGTATTGCCGCCCACCATCCGCTGGGGAGTGAGTCCCATCAGAGGAGGCTTCAGTCTGCCTGGTAAGGTGCTGCTTTTTGCTTTTTAGAAACTTCTGGGTGGGTTTCGGCTGAGGGGGGTTATGTTTCTGTGCTGTGTTGTTTACTTTCGGTGATTTTGGGGGGGGCAGTCTCAGCACGGGAATTGCTCGATGGTTTGGTTTGGTTTGTGTTTTTTTTTCTTCTTTCTTTCTTTTTCCAGCCTTCAGGGCTTGCTCTGTTTATTTTTGGTTGTTTTTTTTTTTTAAACCCCAGCACCTTCTGATGGGGCTTTCTGCGTGCTTTTTATTTTATTTTATTTGTATTTTTTTTAAAATGCTGGAACAGATTAATCCCATTCCCATGCATTTCATTGGGAAATGGTGCTTCGACTTATGAGCATTCCGACCTATGAACACCATTCCAGAACGGATTAAGTTCATCAATAGAGGCACCACTGTAGTTATCCCCAGTTCTTGTGCCTAGTCCTCTGATTTCATTATCTTCAGCATGGTATCCTTGCCATTTAGACCTAGACTATTCTTGCCATCTAGACCTAGAACTGCAGGGTTCCTGATCCTAATTTCCCCCCTGGAAAAGATAGCCATATACTGTCTGTTTTAACAAAGGGTAAAAGAAAGGACTGGGCCAACCAAGACCTCTGCTATATGGGTCAGGATGAAAAAGCCTTGAAACTGTGTTGCAAAAGAAGTGTGGGTGAAGCATGAATGTTTAATTCTGCTTTCTGTGATCTTTCACCATTGAGTAGGCTGGCTGAGCCTGATGGAAACTGCAGCCCAGCAACATCTGGATGGCTATAGATTGTCTGGACCAGTGCTTCCCACCCTTGGGTAATGCAGAAGTTCTTGGACTGCAGTTCTTAGAAACCTTCATCACTAGCTATGCTGACCAGGATTTCTGGGAGTTACAGTCCAAGAACACCAGGATTACCCAAGTTTGGTCTAGAAGAAAGTTATTATACCTATTGCAGGGGACCTTTCATCTGTTGACAATGATCTTTACCTATTAAAGTAGGCATCCCTCTTCATTCAGAAACTATATAGTGCTACTAAGGCAACATCCTCCCCTACTTAATCTAGAAACCTTTTTTTTAAAGGACCTCCTGACTTGGATAACTTTGCTCATGATCTGAGAGGTGTGATACCACGAAGTTTTGAATATCTTTTTTTCCTAATTGAACGTGAAAAAGAAAAGGTAAAACCTTTTTATAATGAAAGCCATTGAGGGAGGTTCTTGATTATGAATTCAACTAGGGAGGTTCAGTAGGACTATAAAATATGTGCTGCTAGCTCTTAAATGCCCTTCTTTATTTAGGAAAGTCTCACCTGCTTGTTTGGAATTATTTATATTGTAATTTGTTGTTTTATGAAGGCAAGAACCTGTGTAAATTACAATTTGTCCATGCTGATTAAAGTTTGGCTAAAATGTCTTCATCTGAAGCCTATTCTCTTGCCTCTTTGTTGCAGCCTTGTGCCATCTAAAGCTAGGATTGGTAGCATAAATTTCTCATTGCTTCAGTTTCCAACAGTATGTAGCATAATGCTGACTGATCTCTCTGGGTTTCTTCCAAACTAAAATTGCAACTAAATTTTTATCGTAACAATGCATTGCAAGTAAATTTTACTTAGATTTCAGCAGGGATCCAAAACCCTTCAGGCCATTAGGAATTTTGTGAGCACGGTCCCAAAATGGCTGCCTTGGTGAGTGTGCCTAGTCAGAAAACAAACATCCATTACTATACCAAAAGCAAACTGGTAAAATGAAAAAGACCAATTCCTGCCAGTTTCCCCTGGAATACACACAACCTCCCTCCCCACAACTTACCAGGCAGTAGTAAGAAGAATTTCTTTTTTTTTCCTGTTTAGAATGGCTAGGAGCTTTGTGAATCAAATGCTGTCTTCCTGCTGCCTGTCATCCATAATCCTGAAGAATACCTCTGGGTTCTCATAGAGCCAGAGGTATTAATAGCGAACAAAGATGTTGGCTTCCACATTGTTTTAAAAAGTAAAGATCAAAACCCTTATCATGGGTAAAGTGAGATTTTTGATAATTAAAGACTTCTTCCTTCTGTCCCATCACTCCTGTAACTTCCATCCAATGGAATAGATTATTCACAAGTTGGACACATTGCAAGATGGAAGAAGTAATTCTTTAATTGCCAAAAATACCCTCCCACCACTGATATCATTGCCCTTCCACAGGTATAACTTGTTGCAAGAGTAATTTTGCAAATAATGTCTAGGGACTGTTTGTTGCCTTTGGTGGGTATGGCAGCAGATGTTTGATGCTGCATTGGCACCTGTAAGCACTGTGTTTCCATTCTTCCACTAAGGTTTGTTAATTCTTTAAATGGTTGTGAGGACATGGGGCTGTGATCCTAGAGAATACAGCACTGTTGCAGATTTTAAAGTTAGTCCGTGCTTTAAAAAAACAGAACAAGTTGTGCTGGTTACATGGCTGCCATGGGTAGCCTGTGAAAAAGACTGAGTAATATTGTGTTTCAGAGCAGTGACTGGATGAAAGGATTTAAATATATACCGTATTTTCCATGTATAAGATGCCCCCATGTATAAGATGCCCCCCCCCACTTTTCTAACCCAAAATTAAGAAATCTAAGTGGGGCTTAGCAAGTGTTGAGGGAAAGGCATCAAAGCCCTGCAGGATCACTTTGATCCCTGCTTTCCCCTCCACTTGTTTTTTCTCTCCTCAGCTTACTTCCGTGTATAAGATGACCCTCAATTTTTAGTCTAAAGATTTTAGACAAAAGTATAGTCTTATACATGGAAAAATATGGTAAAACAGTCAAGAAGTTCAAACTTTCATATACGATTTATTTATTTATTATATTTATATCCTGCCCATCTAGTCATTGGACTACTCTGGGCGGGGTACATCAGACAAAATAAATAATTAAAATAACATCAGTATCCAAGAATAAATAATCATTCAAAATGGAAAAAGACAAAGAAGATAGATCAAATAGTGCCTGGAGGGAAGGCCTGCCTGAATAGCCTGGTTTTTAATTGGCTTTTAAAAAGATGTAATGGCTTTGTTATGTTTTCTGGTTTCTAAATGTTGAAACAGCATTTTTCACTTTAACAAGACTTAATGTTTCTTATAGGCTGGTGCTGAAAAGAGTTTTCTCTGTAAATGTTCATTCATTGAAATCTATAATGAACAGATATTTGATTTGCTGGATTCTGCTTCAACTGTACTCTTTCTCAGAGAACATATCACAAAAGGGGTGTTTGTTGTTGGAGCAGTGGAGCAAGTGTTGACCTCAGCTGCTGAAGCGTATCAGGTATGCTCTATTCTGATAGGTAGAGGTAGACATTCTCATGTGGTATAATTAGCTGTGCTTATTAGGTAGCAATGGTGTCTAGTTAAGCCCAGTCAGGAGCTTAACTACAGTGGGGTCTTGACTTAAGAACGGCTTGAGTTAAGAACATTTTGACTTAAGAACCGCTCTCAGGAAAATATTGACTTGACTTAAGTACTTAGATTTGAGTTACAAACTGAAAAAAACCCACGTGGGAGGCAGGGAAAGTGCAAAATGTGAACTTTCAGTTAACTGTTGGCCAGTGAAAAGGGTGCCTGTCTGCTTCCTCACTCCTCCCAGCATTTAGAGAGTGGATTGGGAGACAGTCTTCAGACTGCCTGGTACTGTACTGCCTGGACTGTATTTTCCCTGCCTTCCCTGAAGCTTTCTTGACCTAAGAAAAAAAGAACCAAAATTTCCCCCTCTAGTGGTCGAAGGCGGAATAGCAGCTTCTCATTAGTTTCTATGGACGGAAAAGAGCAGATACGGATCAAATGGTTTTCAATGCATTCCTATGGGAAATGCAGATTTGACCTGAGAACTTTTTGACTTGAGAACCGCCTTCCAATACGGATTAAGTTCTCAAGTCAAGACCCCACTGTACAGGAAAGAACTTTGATGATTTATGCTTATGGACCTATTTTGTACCTTTTATTTTATTGCCTTTCCGTCTATAGCTCTCCCTATATGCATTCTGACTCAAGCACCAGTTTCCTTAAATTTCATGAAGTTCTATCTTTGTTCTTGATGTTTTCAGTGATCAAGATTACAAACACCCTGTTTCCCAAAAATAAGAAAGGGTCTTATAATAATTTTTGCTCCAAAAAATGCATTAGGGCTTATTTTCAGGGGATGCTTTTTTTTTTTTTTTTATGTACAATCTACGTTTATTCAAATACAGTCACTTCTTCTTCTGGTTGCTGCACAATGGTGGAGGGCGGGCTTTCACTTAACTAGGGCTTATTTTGGGGGTAGGGCTTATATTACAAGCATCCTGAAAAATCATACTAGGGCTTATTTTCAGGGAAACAGGGTACCATGTGTGTATTCTCTCTATGCACACATATGGTTTAGTCTCCCACTAGTAAATATAGCAGTATCCTTGGTTTCTCTTATCTACGATCTCAAAATATTAAAAATATTAGAAGAAAAAATTCAGAAAAAGAACTATTTTCGTGTGTATTACCAAAACCAGCTGCTAGAGGGAGACCATGCTGTGAATAATTCTTAGCAAAGAATGTATAGCACGGTAACGCATGTGAAAATAATTGTTTCTTGGTTGTTGTTTTTCTTATACCATTCTATCTAGCTATCCAGCATTTGCTATTATCCACAGTTTTCAGCATCTGCCGGGGGGATTGGAATCAATTCCCAGCAGATATGGGGGTCCTACTATATGAAGGTGCTTAAACTAAAATCCACTTAAAATGTCAAGAGACATAAAGATTACCTCTGGGAGGGAAATCAGTAGTCCTGTTCATATACAAGCATTTACCATGCACTTGCTGGAATTTTTAGTCATGGATAGAACTAAAGCTTTAAAGATCATCGGTTGGCATATTTGAAATAACTGTGATGTTTACTGTGCAGTACTGCACTGGGTTGTAGCTAGTGGTTAGGTTTGTTCCAGCATATATTGCATGCCAGTGTCCTCTTTCTGGTCAGGTATTAACAATGGGCTGGAGAAATCGTCGCGTAGCATCTACCTCAATGAATAGAGAGTCCTCCAGATCGCATGCTGTCTTTACTATCACAGTAGAATCAATGGAAAAGAACAATGAAGTTATGAACATTCGATCCTCTCAACTCAATTTAGTGGATTTGGCTGGATCTGAGAGACAAAAAGATACTCATACAGAAGGAGTTAGGTTAAAGGTAAGCAGAACCTCACCCCTACCCCAGCAATTTCTGTTCTGTGAAAAACAGAGGTAGTCTCTGTTCATTTATTTGCATTTTATTACATTTTACAGGAAGCAGGGAACATAAACCGGTCGTTAAGTTGCTTATGTCAAGTTATCACTGCACTTGTTGATCTGGGCAATGGAAAGCAGAGGCACGTTTGCTATAGAGACTCCAAACTTACATTTCTGCTAAGGGTAATGTGTATCATTGACTTCTCAGACAAATTTTCTAAATAGTATAAATAACTACTGACTTTTATATTATTATGATCTCTTATTGGAGGCAGCTGCTTCTGAGAAGAAAAAGTAATTCGAGACAATCAATTTAACTGATTGTACATGTATCAAAAGCTGTGGAACAGTACAAGATTCTCTATTTCCAGTGTTCACATTTGAAATGCAATGTCACCTCCAAGAAACCAGCACTTTGGTGAATATTATGGTCTGGAGAGGATGCATGCTATTGCACAGAAAACTTCCTGATGCTTTTCTGAAGAATTTGTAAATTCAGCAAAATATGTATAGTAGCCCCCTCCTTATCCACAGGATCAGTATCTACTAGTTCACCTGTCCATGATCTGAAAGTATTAATAATATTAAAAGACTGTACCCTGATACCTCATCAGTTGGACACAACTGGCTTAGACAAGTTACTCAGATCTGTCACAAACACCAAGTAGCATTCTGGCCATTGAGTTTTATTGACATCCTAAAAGCAAAGGTTATGGAATAGGACATGCAGTTATATAGTTATGTTTGTTAACTCTCACTAAGTAATGTTTATGTCTTTTAACTAGGATTCACTTGGTGGGAATGCTAAAACATGCGTCATAGCAAATGTTCATCCTGGATCCAGATGTTTTGGTGAAACCTTGTCCACTCTTAATTTTGCTCAGAGGGCAAAACTGATTAAAAATAAGGTATGTAATTGGACTTTGTCAGTTAATTCACCTTTTTCCTTCTGTTCACAAATATTCGTTCTGGTCCACAATTTGTTTTGGATTATTAATGATTTTTTTGCCTAAATATGCTAGCAAATTTATTTTTAAAATGAAATGTATGCTGTCTACACGCCTTTCAGCAGCCTCCTTATACCTCACAAAGGGGCCATTACGTCACACTCAATCACTCTTCGTTTCCGCTGCCACCAACCATTCCCTCAAATGAAGCTTCAGGCCAAAGTATGATTTAAAAATAAAACTAAGGTTTATTGAGTACAAACAAAAGGAATGGTAAATCACTTGTATATAAATAATACTTTAATCACTATAATAACTATCCCACACACACTCTCACAGACTCTCACAAAATAGCACAGTTCTTATCTCTCAGTATCTCCAAGCCCTAACCGTCCCTATCTCCAAACCCTATCTAACCCTATCTGAATCTCTCACACCATTCACTCCCCTTATATACAACAGCTCCACCCCTTATGTCCCACCCTCCGTCACGCTATTGGTAGATGACTCACAGCTTCAGCAGTGACGGGCAGGTAATGTCATAGCTGTATGTAACAATACCTCCCCCCTTTAAAAGTTGTTTTGCGGGGGAAAGCTAAGGAGCTTTTCACCCAAAACAACTGGAAACAACATCAAAACATTACATTTCCCCCACATATCAACACTTACCATTAACATGTTAGGCACACTCTTACATAACTATATCCTTCAAAATATACTTACACTTAATAAATCAATTGCATATATATATACAGAACAATATTCCAATAACCACATATTTTCATAACTTATTAAACACATTTATTAATTTCAAGAGTCCAATTTTTTTTCATATGTCATCATTTGGTCTTCAGGATAAGGCGTCAGCAACACAGTTCATAGTCCTTTTGACCACCTTAACCTCGAAGTCATAGTCCTGTAAAATTAAAGCCCACCTCATTAGCTTGCTGTTTTGGGCCTTCATAGTCTTTAACCTCATCAGAGGTGAGTGGTCTGTACAAAGAATAAAGTGTCTCCCCCAGATGTAAGGTTTTAATTTCTAGACCGCGTACACGATGGCCCAACATTCTTTCTCTATGGTCGACAGGTGTTTTTCGCCTTTCTGAAGTTTCTTGCTCAGGTAGGACACAGGATGCTGGTCTCTGTTGTCATCACACTGGCACAGCACGGCTCCTACCCCGGCGTTGGATGCATCGGTGTAAATGATGAACTCTCGATCGAAGTCTGGAGCACGCAACACAGGGTGGTTGGTTAACGCCTCCTTCAGCTTCCCAAACGCCTCCTTGCAGTCACTGGACCATGGGATGCAGTCATCACTCCTTTTCCTTGTCAGCTCGGTCAACGGTGCTGCAATCTCGCTGAACCTGGGGATAAATTTTCTATAGTATCCCATTAAACCAAGAAAAGATCTAATTTTCTTCTTGGTATTGGGTCTAGGCCAATTACGTATTGCCTCTACCTTTGGTTCTAGGGGTTTCATCACACCTCCCCCTACCATATGACCCAAATATTTCATCTCGGGGCTAGCCAGCTGACATTTACTTGCTTTTACTGTTAACCCCACTGCTTCTAACCGTTGCAGTACTAACTCTAGGTGACACAGGTGATCCTGCCAGGTGTTGCTAAAAATCCCTATGTCGTCAATGTAGGCTACTGTAACTGCACTGAGCCCCTGCAGAATTTTGTCCATCAGCCTTTGGAATGTAGCTGGGGAATTCCTAAGGCCAAAACTGAGGACACGAAACTCAAATAAGCCGAAAGGGCTACAAAAAGCAGTCTTTTCTTGATCTCTAGGGTCTATCCGCACTTGCCAAAACCCTTTAGTCAAGTCTAAACAGGAAATGTATCGACAACCCCCAATGGTTTCAATCAGGTTGTCAAGTCTGGGCCTGGGGTAAGCATCTGGTTTGGTTACTAGATTTAATTTTCTGTAATCCACACAGAACCTAATGCTTCTATCCGGTTTATCCACTAAAACTATTCGAGCAGACCAAGGGCTAGACAATGGCACAATAATATTTTCTTTTAGCATCTCATCTAGCTCCTTGCACACCTTGTCCACATAAGGTCTGTATGGGGTTACTGCCTGCGGGGGTGCATTTCCAATACCTATACTATGCATCACTCCCTTAGCTAACCCAGGCTTCTTTGAAAAGACATGTTGATACTTACTAACCAACATCTTTAGTTCCCTCTGCTGTTTTAGAGTGAGAGCAGGGCTGATCTTCACCTCCTCTGGGTTGAACTTAACTTCTCCCCTACCTTCCCAATAAGGCAAGTCATGTTC